TCATCCTTCACAAAGCAGACATCCTTCACAAAGCAGACACGCCTCATCGCGATATGCAGTTGGATATGCCTCAAAAAAGTCCTCCAAACCTGACAAGATATCCGGTGTGATCTTTGGCTTTACACCCCATGTTGAATGAGGACTTCTAGCAGTTCCAAAGCAGCGAATATTTCGTTGGATTCGATATACAGTGGCCAGATGGCACTCAATGGTCCGCGCAATCTGAGCAGGCATATAACCATCGTTTAGAAGGCGTACGATCTCATTGGTGGTAAATTCGCTGAGCTGGGAGGGCATATTGGCAGATTTGATGATAAAGGTGCGTATTTGAATGGATTGGATGATATTTGAATGATTTTAGAGATACGTGGATATTTTGGTTATTTCTGCGGTGTTTTGCTACTATTTTTCAGGGGGTGGCAGAAAATTCTGTTTTCGCAAGCTTTACGTCCGCCACAATAATTAGTTGTTCATATAAATTGAATAATCAGCAATCTCTTTAATGATATTCGACTCAGAGTGCTGCTCAGAGTGCTGCTCAGAGCTCTGCAAGAATATTGACAGCTGTTCAATTAATTTCATCACAAGAAATTCAATCTTAGTTAACCGTGCCATGCTTACTCACTCTCTCCAGTGAGTGCGCCACAGCGTACGGAAAACCACAGCGTACGGAAAATATTATCAATATCTTCATTGTTCATCTTCAAATAATCATCATTAATTATAACCATGCCTAAATCTTCTAATTACACTGAGGAGCAGTTGCAAAGAGCTGTTGACGCGTACAAAAGCAATTCAAAATTAAAAATCACATCTCTGTCGCGAGAATTCAAAGTCCCATATGCCACCTTGTATGGGAGGATCAACGGGAAGAAATCAAGGACTATGAGGGTTCCACTGAATAGAGCATTGAATGACAGCCAGGAGGAGGCAATTAAGATATGGATTCATCAGTTGGATATTAATTTTTGCCCGCCCACCATCGAGCATATCGAAGCCGCCGCGAACCGCATGTTGAGACAGCATCATACAGATCCAGAGACCGCACCTCCCACAGTAAGCAAGATGTGGGCATATCGATTCATCAAACGCCTGCCAGATTACGAACGGGTCAAGCAAAAGCCCATGAATCCAAAACGGGTGTCTTGCGAGGATATAAGCTTCATTATCAACTGGTTTGATCGATATGAAGCTGTCTTCAATCAATATCACTTTTTCCCCTGCGATATCTACAACTTTGATGAGATTGGATTTCAAGAAGGAGAAGGACGTGGACAGTGGGTTATAACCGCCTTTAGAGACACAAATTCCGTCATACAGTCATCATACTCCCGCGGGTTAATAACAGTGGTGGAGTGTGTCAGTGCAGATGGCACAGTATTGGATCCATTGATTATAATGAAATCGAAGGTCCATCTAGAGGATTGGTATACACACTCCAACTTACCTGACAACTACACCATCACCGCATCCGAGTCTGGCTTTACAAATGATGAGATTGGATTTGAATGGATCAAGCGGTTCAATAAGATGACAAAAAAGCGTCAAATGGGCAGTCATCGACTGCTATTAATGGACAATCATGGTTCTCATCTCACAGAAGAATTCATCCAATACTGCGACCTCCATAAGATTATTCTATTCGGATTCCCATCTCATACAAGTCATATTCTACAACCTCTTGATGGCGTACCTTTTCAGCAGTATAAGCATTATCATACAAAGGCAGTTAATGAGGCCGCCCGCTACGGATATGAGCAGTATGGTGGCAGACAATTCCTTGCTAATCTGGAGAGCGTCCGACTGCAAGCATTCAAACCTGGCACTGTGAGAGCTGGCTTTGCCGACCGCGGAATGTATCCAGTTAATCGCGATATAATTCTCAATCGATTGAGACCTCTTACCATTGATGATGCCCCGGATCTCAACATATACGATGGCGATGGTGATGTATGCAATCACTTTACCCCGCCGCCTGCAGATCGACCGTCAACTGCCTCTTTGCAATTAACCTCCCCAGAGACAGTTGCAAAACTACATCGCCAAATCGATGCAGCAGCCAAGGCCTTACAAGATGTGAAGGATACCCTTACACCTGGTTTGACAAGGCGGTTGGACAAGATCTTCAAGGGTAGCATGGTCCAGGCGGAATTGAACGCGCACCGTGAGGGTGAACTTGCAGGTCATTATCGAGCAAATAGACGTCGGGTCGTCAAATCCTCCCGCAGGCAGGTGCAAGTAGGCGGAGTCCTCACTATTAAGGATGCCAATCGCAAGATCGCGACCCGTAGAGCAGATGAGATGAAAAAGACGTTCAATAAGAATCTTCGGTCGATTGGAATCAAACCTACAAAATCTACAGCCACTCAACCACAACAAGATAATTCTATAGAATCTCAACCTACAGTGGATTCTACACCTTCTAATGAGTATATAGATAATCTTTATGTTATAGATAGATGTGGTGGTGGTTATTAATTAATTTTCGAAGATCACTATATTCAAAATATTTTCCGTACGCTGTGGTTTTCCGTACGCTGTGGCGCACTCACTAGAGAGAGTGAGTAAGCATGGCACGGTTAATTCTGAAGTTCAGAACATTGTATTTATGTGAAGATTATTATGAAATATGAAAAAGATTTAAAAATAGCTCTGTTCTTTTAATTCAAAAATTTTATATCTCTGTTTGATTGATTTTGAAACATTTTAACTGTGTATCTTGATCAGCTGAAGAATTGAATCACCATCTCATTAATGAAGAGATTGAAATTGAGAGTGTAGTATTTCTAATATGTTGTATGAAAATTGAAGTATAGAGGCTCTAGCTTTTGAATGAAGAAGAATTTTGATTTGTAAAAATTGAATATATAAAGATATCTATTGATCTGCTCAAATCTATACTGTTTTATGTGAAATCTTGATGAATGAAATGGCTCCTGAGCATCATTCTTATTTCAATAATCTTCAACTGTTGAAGATTTATGTATTCTCATATAAATAATCTGCTCAAGAAATATCTTAATTTCTGTAAAAGTAGTTGACTGTCAATTCTGTGAATTGAGAACTGAATTCTTTGAGATCTGTATCTCTGTGTAGATATTGATGAAGCTTGTAATATTCTGAATATCTGCCTCTGAAATATAGAGAGAGAATAGAGCATATGAGCTCTGTGAATCAATATTATTGAGCAGATTGGCAGCTGGCAGATGATAAAGAGCTTTCATAGAATTGAATTTGACATCTTTCAGAGATAGAATATCTGCTATAATTTCACTCAGAGATTGTTTTCATTTCTCACTCTTTTTTGTACTGTCTAAGAAATAATCAGCAGATATTATTTGAAGAAGTATTAGAGAATTGAAAATACCTTTGAATGCCATGATTTCTGCAGAGTGTGGGTGGGTAGAAAGGTGAATTCTCACAGCTGGAAGGTTGGAAGATGAAGTGCAGCAACGCGTTGAGAGAAAACCTGAGATAGTGGATCTGTACCAGCAAATAGAATTGCATATATTTTAGTATGAGAAATTATTGGTTTGTACTTCTGAACTAACAGCTTAGTTATTACACTAATGGTATTGCGCTAATTGTGCCTCGCCCCCAGACGAGGAGATAGGCTGCCGTAGTTTAAAAGAAAGAAGGAGAGGGGGCCCAGACAGCATCACCCTCAACATCTGGCCCCTGTGTAAAGCCCCTTAAAAATAAAGCCCTAACATAAAATACCCCTACTTCCTCTGCCCATAAGACTTCGTGGCATAATCGCCCGCATGCACAATCAAATCCTCCGGCCTATAATCATACTTTCCGGAGAAGTACGACTCGAGAATCGCCTTCGTGCCCGCCGCATAGCGCACCTGCGCATCGATGGAGCTGCCGGACATGTGCGGGACCATGGCGTTCCCGCCGCCCCAGGGCCCCTGCGTATAGCGCAGTGGATGGTCCTTGGGCGCGGGCTGCGGGAACCACACATCGCCACCGTAGCCGCGCAGGTGACCTGATTTGATGGCATCGGCGACGTCTTCTTTCACGACTATGGCGCCGCGGGCGGTGTTGACGAGCCAGGAGCCTGGTGGGGTGGGGTGGGGTGAGGGCTGTTAGTTGCTGGAAGTTATGCATGTAGTTTTGGGGGATTGGGCATACCCTTCTTCATCTTGGCGATGAGATCCTTGTTAAACAAACCGCGGGTCTTTTCGTGAAGTGGACAGTTGATCGTAACAACATCGCACTGGGCGAGCATTTCCTCAAGAGTGTCTACACGGCGGCATCCGATCTCCTGCTCCACAGCCGGAGGCAGTGGTTGGTAGTCATAATACAACAGCTCCTTGCAGTCAAACGGCTTCAGTCTTCGCAGAACGCGCTCGCCAATCCGGCCCACGCCAACGGTGCCAACGACTTTATGCTCAATGTCGTACTCGTTCTTCGCCACAGCAGCTACGTCCCAGTCTCCACCCGCAACTTGCTCGTGTGCGGGCACAAAGTTGCGGACGAGGACAAGGATAGTCATGAGGACATGCTCGGCGACGGAAACGACATTGCATCCCGTCACTTCGGCAACGGTGATGCCGCCGTTTGTCTTGTTGGCCGCGTCCAGGTCGACGTGGTCAGACCCAACACCGGCCGTGACGGCAAGTTTTAGGTGCTTAGCTTTAGCCAGGCGCTCTGCAGTCAGATATCCTGGGTGGAATCTAGAGTATGGTCTCTGGTTAGACAAATATGGACATAGAACAAGGTGGGCTAGACAGCCCATATTTGCTTGAAATTTAGAACTCGATGCTGGCTGGTGTTTGCATTTGCAACATACGGAGTAGTGATGATAACCTCAGCATCGACGAGCTCCTGGTCGAATTTGGAGTTGGCACCATCTTTGTCCGAGGTGGTTACTAGGGTATGGCCCTTCTCCTCCAGCCACTTCCTCAATCCCAACTCATTCTCGCTGGCTCCGAGCAAGGCAGGCTGGTCCTTCGCATGTTGTCCTCCCTTGAATTCATCATATTAGAAATGAGCAGTTTACATATTCCAGGTACAATGATGTGGGCCAAGACTGCAAGCGTAACGGGGGAACTCAGCTTACATCGTACAAAACTAACAACACTTTGCCCTGAAGTTTAGGACTCGCAGTTAGTGTTCTCACTCCAGTCAATGATAGTAAACGGGACAATGGCCCGTACGACTGCATATTGTAGCCAGGGAAAGTAGCGGAAGAGCTACGGGGAAGCCCGCGACCCATAAACAAGGGGGACGCAGTGCGGGAGAGATGGCGAGGCAAAAAGCGAGAAAATACCATTGTGGCTGCTACAGGGCAGATTTGAAAAACAAGGTGATCCTTTTTGTTCACTTTAAACCACCAACCAGCTTCGATGGAGAAAGATGAGGTGCCGTGCTGTTAGGGAGTGTTGGTGAGCCGACGTGTATAGAGGACACAACTGTGCTTAGTCAGGGCAACCCATACCTTGGGAGTGTTTCGAAGTTCAAGTTGCAGGTTCTATCCGTGACAAGACATCGACAGGGCAGGGAGTATCAGAAAGATCTAGCGCAAAGACACCTGAAGCCTACTAATTTCCTGTATACCTGTATGCTGTATGCAGGAGCGACGAGAGAGACAAAAAGCAAAGAAAACGAAGCCATCTGGGAGAATGGCCTAGTTTATATAGTCTGCAGCATCCAATTCTTATTAGTTCCCCCGCATATAGCAACGATGCTTCAGGAAATGCAATCAGGCGCACTGCACTTTATTTCGTCCCTGCCGGGTGCATTTGCAGAGAAACCCTCGCTATCCACGTCAGACATTCAACTATCTCCCCACAGGCATTCAATAAACTATAGCTCAGCGGCGATTCCCGTCCCTGTAACACTCTCGCACCCTCCAAAACGTCTGAGAAGAATTCAGCGAGGGGCCCGTGAGGCCTGGGCCGGTACCAGGGATCGATAGGCTCTACTCCAGTACTTAGGTGGGCTTTGATCGTCCGACCCATTGCTCTGAAACAGGGTGATCCATCCATCGAGCCTAGATGAGGATTGGATATGGACACTGTCTGCTCCCGGTGGAAAAGGACGGACATACTATCAAAAGAGGGGAAGCATGAATTGTGAACCCAGCCTGTTCTTGGAACGTGCCGACCAGCCAACCAATCGATCTCTCAATCAGCTTAGCAAACAACCCCAGCGGTTCACAGACGCCTTCGAGACAGGATAATATCCCCCGTCCGATGCAATGCATGGATCCTGTGCCAACAATCGTGTTAGCTCCCCATGATGCTGATTCGCCCCTCCCCCGCTTTCCTCTCAACGGGCAGCCTGCACCTCTGCTGGGATGTATCAGGTTTTCCGTGGTCGGCAAAACTATGTTCGACTGTGGAGAGTGGAGAGCCTGCGGTTGATACCCTGTGAGGGGAACCGATTATATAATGCGGGGTGTGTGCGGGGAAACTTTCCAGACTTCCAGACCCGCGCGACCTTTCCTTTTCAGGTAAAGTCACTCGAATTCGCCCGCACCTCGTTGACATCAACAAAGCCAAACATGCGCCTCCTCTCCCACGCCAACTTTTATTTGGTGCACAGATGAATATGCCGGTATCCACATACAAGCTGCTGGTAAATACATATAAGATTCCTCTGTCTATCTCGTCGTCTCGACCATGGCGGCAAGCTGCACCCGTATCAACTGGCTTCGCCCATCAGGTCAAGAGCTTCTGATACAGCTGAGATAGCATAATAGGATCCACAAAGGTTCCTCGATTGCCAATTGAAGCTCTCCTCGATGTAGCTTGCAAAGAACGGAGCCTTGTGATCCTTCCATTTCTCGATCGGGGTGTGCCTGAGGCGGGAACGAATACATACTCGGTAATACGCGAATGGATCGGAACCTGGGAGAGAGAACATCATTGCGAATCAGAAGTCCTGACGGCTAACTAGGACTACAGGGGTTGTTTTGCTTTTATTTATTTATTTTTTTTTTCGGCAGTTCAGAGTTCAGATCGTCGTGGTGGTGGGGTGATCAGCAGCCCGACATGGCCTTGTTGGATATGCTCGAAGCGATGGCAAGCTTTTTTGAATTTGATATAATTGGGGCCTGTTCGGTGTGGCCGTGTGTACTCATTCTTTTTGTATGGATCTCCACTTTTTTTAAAAAGTACAGCTCAATATGACAATCATTCAGTGGACAGAACAGCTGTACTAATATTACAACTTCTTTATACAAAGTACAGATGAAAAAGATTAGATGTTTGATGAATTGAATGACTGTACTCATATATTTCATCAAGATCATATAAATAAGCATTATTTAACTTCAACAGTGTGTAACACATCCTTACAACTACCCATGAACGTAGGGGTACATTTGAATTTTCCACTTTTCCAACTGGTTTTCGTATAATTTTAACCCTCCAACCCATTCAATATCATCACACGCCCTTTGTGATTTCTTCACGTGTGTGTACTGCACAGATTGAGTGGTTATGGAGCCCTCAACACCCTCCCATCCACCCAAGGACATCAATACAGCCTACACCAGGTCATTGAAGCTGGAGTCATCAGTCAATTTTGTCACTGAAAAGACTGGCAAGAGGCAGAGGAAGACTGTCACAATGTCTTCTTCAGTTCTTAAAAAAGTCAGTGACAGCATCCTCACAGCCATCTCTCAGCTTCAGAAGTAGTTTGAGAAGATTTAACAACAACAAAATTTGCAATAAAAAATTCTCATCAAATTGATAAAAACTCTGAACAGCTGAGTTGAAAAGAAGAAGCAATCAATCAATCAGAATTTTACTCAAATTTTTTATGAAAAATTTATCAAATATATGATAGCAGATTTGAATGCAGCATTAATTCTGAGAAAAAATGCTGCTCTGAATATTCATTCACAATCAAATGCAATAAAAACAGCTGTGAGAGAGCTGATTATTTGAGTAGATGTTGTAAGGCGAAGCCGTACGAAGAAGCTCTTGGGCATGCTATTCTTATTCTTTATCATCGTAACTCTAAGATATGCTGTGCAAGCGGAAACAAGCAGGAGGTGAAGCCCTGTGCGTAGTCATGTGACTACGCGTATGATGGAGCGAAGGCGTGGCACTGCGTGTGGCAGGGCGTAGCAAACCCTGCCCACCCAAGGACCTCTACAACCATCATAAGAGACAACATCTCCCACCTCTAATCAACACACCCGCGGACAACCCCCTCTATGAAGTTGATACAATCATCGACCACCGAATAGTAAAATGCAGAGGAAAGGCAATTATTGAATACCTCATTCACTGATGAGAATATAGGCCAGAATATGATATTTGGATTAAGTAAAATGACATGAATTGCAATGAACTCATATAGAAATATGAAGCCAACCACTTTTGACCTACAGAAGCTGTATCAACAAAGGATATCAACAATACAAATCAGTATAAAACCACTGTCAGATCAAAGCATAAGAAAATCATCAGAATCATAAAGAACTTACTGTTTACATTCATTCCCTTTCTTTAAACTCTAGACAACTGTCACATCAGTTGCCCTCGGCTCCTCTACACACCCATTCACTTCCTCTCAACAACATAACTCTAACCTCACTACTCACAACACCTTTCACATCTCAACCCCAGTTCCCTCCTTTTTTCCTCATCACATTCAGCATTTTTCACCTTTTACAACAACTCACAACCTTCTTCAACAACCCTTATTTCACCTCCTCATTATGTCAAACTCCTTTAAGGACTTCATTGAGAGGCTCCAAGCTCATTATGGCTTGCCCTCAGACCATGAAACAGACACATCAGTAAAGAGCTTGAGCGTCTTCTGACTGACTGATTTTGACACTGATGGCAAGCTGCGTAAAGACAGAACCAGCTGGAGTATTAGAGATGATGCCTATCACAAAACAGTGTATGAATTCCTATCCTGCAGCAGTGGAGAACGACCTATGCCATGCTGCCTACACACTTTAACCATCATAAAAGCATCAGTCAGAAATGCCAAAAGAGCACCACATACATCTACATCAATCGCCATGCTCATACCGACGACTATGAAGGCACGCGAACCGACAGCCACAGAAACCCTTGTCAAACCAACCATCTGCAAAGACAAACAGCAAAAACGCCTTTTTGTAGACTCAGACAATGAACAGTCAGATGCAGACAACCTGCTTACAGAACTGAACCAAGCCAAGCTCAAACTCCAAGGCTTTAAAGCTGATCAAGACACAAAAGTACAATGCCTTGCAGCTGATGCGGAGTACCACTGCGCTATGATGCAGAAGTACAAACTGAAATATGAGTAGAAATTTCAAGAAAGGAAAAGTCAACAGAATAAAAATCTTGTCAGATATATGAAGAAAACCATTCTCACTGATTATACTGCTAGCCTAGCTATATTTGAGTGCTACAGCAAAGCCGCGCACATACTGACAGATGAGAAACACATTAACCTATCAGACATTAAGGCAGAGCTGAAATAATAGAAATATGATGACTTCAGATCACACTCACTCATCTCTGTCATCACAACTCTCAATTATAATGATATTGCAGTAGGTGTCATAACCAGGTCTACAGCGTAAATTAAAGTGAATCCATCAGAAAACTACAGTATTGACACTGACATATTCAACAGTTAAGACACCGCCTACACCGCTCTCGCAATGATACAAGGACATGAAGATCAAACAATGACCATCTCAGTATTAGTTGACATATCTACCACATCCATCTTCACCTCCATAAACACCCCCATGAACTCAGATGATTCTGCAAATTAATCTCTATCATTTCCTTGCTGAGCTGCTCTTACCCCGTTCCTGTTATCTCACTATGTGGTCCCCGACCGGTGTCCACCAAAACCTGACACCTGTAATCGGCTAGCTCAAGATAAAATTGCTTATGCCACTTTACCTTTCTATATTAAGCCTACGAGGGCGTAGACCTTTTCAGACTGGGAAATTGCTACATCTTGCTATGCTCCATGCCCACTTGCCTTACATTACATCATATCATATCAATACTTGTCTATTAAAGCAATAGCTAAACATCATCTATGAGTATAAATAGCTCATGTCATGATATAGATAGAGAAGGAAGCTCATTACATCTTACAGAGTGCATCAGATGATTCATTTCACAAAAAAAATGACACAATGAAGTATCAGTAGTAATTGTGTCTGAGAATCTCACAGTTCACTCTGTTACTACCTCAGCTGAACAGAAGTTAATATTTCATTAACTGAGTGTACACTTTGACACAAGATTCATCTGAAGATCATATATCTTCACTCAAATAAAGAAAGCAAGAGCTGTGGCTCAGCATATTCAGAATCTGAAAAAGATTAAAAATAAATCTTCAGCAGACACTCTGCAGAAGATGATCATCATTTATATGATGCCCTCATTGCTTTATAATACAGAGGTCTGATACAGCAGCTGCACATAGTAAGTAAAACACATGAGCAGAAGTGGGGAGATTGACTCTCATCTGAAATGACATGTGGAGACAGTTGAGAAGATGCTTATTATAACAGTCAGAGAGATCCTCTCAATTTTCCATACAACATTCATCACAACTTTATACTGAGATACTGGACTCCCATCAGCAATGATAGCTCTGAAGGAGGTCAAAATGCGATTTGCAACAAGGCTTCAGATGATGAATGAGAAGCATTCACTGAATTCACAGATAACATCTTCAATGATCACATAAAAAAGAGAGATTGAAATCTGACAGTATTCAAAGATCAAAATCCAACAGTTGAAGACACTGCTATCTGCAATCAATAAACTCACACTTACTATCCTACACTACTCAGAGGGATGCGGGACAGACTTCACAGAGAATGTAGATAAAAAAAATGCTGTTTAAACATTTAAAAAATGATGAAGAAAACAATCTTTAACAGATCTATATGTTTTTTCAGATAAATCAAAATAAAACCTTGACAACAGCAAATAAATAAGTTATGATTTTATAATTTATTAAAAACAAACAATTGACCAGCTTCTCAGCTGCACTGAGCTCTATATTACATGTTTTCAATGCTGAAGCAGTTGATGCTTACTGAGCATTAGAATATGTTGTGAAGCTTTTACCTTGTGTCACAGATGACAGCATCAACTCTTAAATCTGACTCTATTTCAACAATATCTCAATTATTTGAAGCATACAAAGCAATGCAGCAGCCTCTTTAAACTGAGTCTACAATCACTGTTATGAGCTTTTCAGACAGCATAATATCGGTCTGAAATAAGTTTCTGAGTATATAAAGATAGCTTATTATTATTATTATTATTATTATTATTATTCTATTATACTCGTATGCAAGCAGTGCTTATGACGAGTCCTTGTGTAATGTTAAATACAGACAAGAGTTGGTTGGTTATACAGAAGGAATGCTTAGTGTTGAATGATGTCAAGAATATAACAGACACATAGGAAAATTAATGAAAGTCAGGATTTGATACTTGCGATACAGGTTTCCAGCCTAGAAACAATAAGCTAAATCAGGTAGTAGGTCCGCCTGAAGGTACCTACTTGGCAGGTTCACATCCTTTTATTTTATGAGCTGAGAAGTTGGCTCCGGATGCAATGTATATGAAGATAGAAAGCAATGAGGAAGCAAACTGTCTGACTAAGTGAGCAGTCTCATCTACTGCAGTTTCAGTTTATGAATTCAAAATCACACCCACAATCAGTGGGATCTGCACAGTGGCCAAGCAGCGCAGTCAAAAAACAAAGTGAAAGTGATGAAATGAAACCTGTGGCAAGCTCTCTTACTGGTACTGAGGCTGGAGTTTCAGCAGACTGACTGTGAAATATCAAATGAAAGCCTCTTCAGAGCTCACTATGCCACAGCATGCTTTTCACTGCTGATTCACACTTCACTTTTCTCATGAAAACTTCTTCTAATATCATAGATGTTTCAGCATGCAGATGTGAGACTCATCTGTGTTTATAAACATAATAAAAACTTAAAGCATTTGATGCTTTATCAACATTTATAAAAACATCTTCTTCACTAATCTAAAAAATCAGCAGCACAGCCACACAATCAAACAACAGCTGTTATCTATCTAGAGTTTCTGATCTCTACAGACTTTATAGAATTGCTGAACCACACGCAGTTCTACATACAATACTGTATAAGATAACACAACTGGTTGATTACACATCATCTGACAACCCCCACAGCAGTTCTATGAGGCTGGCCTGCTGAGTACACTCACAGTAATTAATGCAACTGTCAGGGACAACACAGTTTATACAGACAATATAGATAACACAACTAGACTCATTTGTTTTAATTAATTATGATGTAATCAATACAGTCTGCATGTCTTATATTCTTGACTGCTGACATTGTATCTACACATACTCTGCTTTGTTTTCCTTTCATTTACTTTTATCTCTATCAATTTAAACATTTCTTCTTTCTTCTTTTCTATACTTTCTCTGTCATTCTCTGCTCTTTTCCTTTCACAATCTTCTTCAGTACTCTCTCCTCTCTTTCTCTGAATCTGTATTAGATTATATAATTGTAAAATGTTATAGATGACACAGTCTCTTTTTTATCTTTCTCTTTTATTCTTTTCATTTCAGAACACACACTTTTCCTCTCTTTCTTTTATTTATCTTATCTATCTTTCTTCTGATATTAGAAGCATAGACAGCTTTCTGATCAACTGAGAAAAATATCTCTCTTTACTCATTATAAAGCCTTTTAGATATGGCAGCAGCAGTCCTCTCAGAGAACCACATTATAGCTTCATCATGAATGGCTATACATTGAATCAGAAATAAATGCACAGCTCAGAAAAATTCTTTTCAATGAGCTGAGTCTTTTCAAAAATTGTTATTTGAATTCTGTTTTCTTTCTTTTTGTGTACATAGAAATCTGTTCAGTGTAGCACATCTCCATACTCTTTAGAAGGCTTCTGAAACACAGATGCTACTTGTGTTTTCTGTAGAACATTAAATCTATACATACATACATACATAAACAGTGTGTAACAATGTAAAATAATATAAAATAGCATTCATAATGAAGATAATTAATTAATATTAATTAAAAAAAAAGCTTGTAAAAATATATTTTTTTTTAAATAAAGTTCAGAATCAATTCAAAAAAATGTGTTTTTACAAACTTCTTTCTTCATCATATAAAAGATTGATCAATGAAAATCAGTATGAAAAAATAATCAACAATAGAATGATAAAATAAATAATTAAATTTTATAAATTGCAATTCAATAATATATCAATTCTCATCAACAATTGTTTATCAAAATAGTCATGAATCTGATAATGAGAATCTTTTTGATGTTATAAAAAAAATATTATATAAAAAATCTTTCATCAATACTCTATATACTGCTCAGTTGCTGAATTCAAATACCCACTCTAATTGTATTAAAAATATCACACATTTTTATTGAGAAACATTCATGCAATTCATTATCTTTCTTAAAAAATATACAACTATATTTGAATTCAGTGTTACAGATGTGATAAAGATGAAAGAGAAAGTAATCATATTTCTCTATATTATTACACAAAAATCTTCATATTGAAATACTGTGAAAAGATTTGAACATTCATTTAATACAATTTCAAAGTAAGAATTAGCTTCTCATATAATCATCATATGATTTTTATTGTTTTGAAAATAATCATTTATTTTATATAAAATATTTCATAAGATGTTGCAAGCATTCTATATACTTTACGGCCAGTTTGTACAAATATTAAAATCTTTCATGAAATATAATAAAGACTTGCTCAATAACAATTTTAAACAACGACCATTCTTTAAAAATTATATTGAAGTTTTAGATAATATTTATTTTTCAATATTTATTTTTTTTAATCAATAATTTAATTGATAAAATTGAAAAAAATTAATCTCACAGAATGTTCTGATAATATGTGATTTTGAAATGAATTTTATATATATATATTCTGAAATTAAAGATTCTACTTATGATATATATGTTTTTAACTTGATTCAAGAGTATGATAACATTTCAGTGAAGAAACCCTGTTATTTTCTTGCAGATGTTGATTATTTCAAAAGAGTTTTCATAATATTGATTTTTTATTTTGATATGTGATATCATTTCAAAAAATTTGAAAAAACAGATAAATAATTTATTAATAAAAAGAAATTATTCAATTTTTAGCATGTCAATTTACAAAGTGTAATTGAATAAGTTTTCAGAATATTTAAATGATGATTTCAAATATATAATTGAGAAAGAGATGAAGTTTTCATTATCATTCAAATCGATTTTATTTTCATATTGACAGCACTTTATAACTTGATAAATAAATATGAAAATCTAAATGATATTAATTTAAAAGATTTGAATAGTAAAATGAAATTAAAATAGTTGAATATAATAAATGAAAAAAAAATGATGATGAGATGATTAGAAGAAGAAATCAGATTATAGAGAAAATATAAAAGTTTTATAAAAGATATATTGAATATATGAAAAATTAATCAGCAAATTGCATGCAATTGATGTGTGAATCAAAATTGCTTACATGTATCTTAATAAAAATAATTGAATTCTAAATATAATTTCACTTTTAAAAATATGAAATGGTAATATATTAATGTATTCATTGTATATTATATCACATTGTAATTTATAAATCAATAAAAAATGTTTTAAATTATCTAATCATCTCGTATAAAAAATTGTGATGTTTTAAAATAAGTATTTGTAAATGTAATTCATTATTATTTATAATATTGAGTGAAATTCAGCGGTGCTCTTGATTATTTTGAAGGAAATAAAATATAAAAAATGATTTAAAAATGTTATTATTATTATTATTTTTATCACTATTTCTGTCATTATTTCTGTCATTATTTTTTTTTATTATTTCTTCTATTAACCTCACTGCAGCATCTGCAGCATTTGTTGTATTGATAATATTTCATTTAACATCTGTATAATATGATTTCATTGAACATTAATTAAGTTATATTTCAAATCCAAATATAGCTGAGCTTTTTGAATGTTGAAAAAACAGCATGAAATTATAATATATTATTAATAAGAAATCTTACTGTCAATTTTTCAATCTTCTGATAATAGATTCTGCATTTTATTTAAGAATAATTTAATGATTCATTTAGTTTCTCTTTTAATTCCAATCTGCATATTAATCTGACTGAGACTGTTTACAACTGCAGTCAGATTTTGAATATTTTCATCAACATTTTCTGATTTTGAACATTTTTTTATGTGATTAATATTTCTGAATATTGATAAATTTTTTATAGAAAATAATGAGTTATCTTCAATTTCTAAATTCACTATAAAAGATTCTCTCATTTCAAATATCATTGCATGATATTTAATCATAAATCAATCAATGATAAATCTGTCATCAAATAATTCATTAATAAATTCTTAAAATTCAGAGTTATATTTTTGAAAGATTTCAAAATCAGAATGTTTGAAGAAATATTTATTTATAATTTCTTTATCATTAATATAAATTTCACATCTGTGATTGTATATTCAGTCAAATATCTAATTTTTATATCTTATTCAAACCATTCAAATACATTTAATTTTTTTTCATTAATTATTATATATATTTTTAATTATTGTCTGATCTGTTGACTGCTTGACAGTTTGTGTGACAAGATTTCAATTCACAGATTTGAAATTGTCATTGTCTGTATTCAACTCTTTTTTTTTTCATCTTCAAAAATTCAATAAGCAAAGCCTTTTTCATTATGAAATTTCATAATATTTTAAATTATTTGATTTGAAAAGCAGATATTCACTTTCAAGAGATAATAAATGTTTGATAAAATGATGTTTCAAAGCACATTTGAGAGAGTGTTTGAAAGAATAATAATTGAGAGGTTCAATCATTGATTTGATAAGGTTGAAATTGTAGAGATTTGAATATTGCCATTTTCTATATTTAAATATTGCATTAAAGTATCATACTGCAATATTCTTGTTCACTGCTTTCATAAATTCTAATCAATAATGAGAGTTAAAATATAGACAAATCAATCATAAATTTGAGAAAATATGATCTTAATACATCTGCATTGAATGTGAAATTAAAAAGCAAGCATGAAGTGATTTCAATTATGAAATAGTGTGGTGACACAACACTGGCTTGCTACTAATTAAGTGGTAAATACACTATTTTTAATGAGGTCCCCCTTGGAGTTTTGCTTTGTCGTCTTTTTTTTTTTTTTTTTTTTTTTTTTGTTGGTGTTGTTTTAAAAAGAATGCAATGTATTTGGATTCGCTCAGCGAGACTTGGAAGATATGTTGATCTTTGGCCCTCTAATAATGCACCTGGTCTCATGAAAAAGAAGAAGAATGCTGCCGGCTAGAAGCGAAGTATACCAAAAAATAAAAAAATAGAAAAAAAATCTACACCGTTCGAACAGGTCAATCAAAGCATTTACAAGTAGGCGAGATGGGTATCGCGAAAATGCGGATATTATTCCCACCCTGAAGCAGGCGCCAGAAGGAGTGCCAACAGAAATGAATATGAAAATAAAACATATATAAATTAAAACAAAATAACATTGGCATCAACTACCACCACCACCACCACCAACTCGAGCCCGCATATCATCCCCATCCTCATCATCACTATCATCCATAAACCCTTCCTCAAGATCCCGACTCAGTCGCCGCTCCGTATCTATGCTGCTGTGGTCGTTATGGTTGTTGTCACCACCACTTCTCCGCCCGTGTTCCAGCGCCTCCCGTCTCGAGGAATCTATCTCGAACCCAACCATATCCTCCCCCTCCTCGTCATCAAAGACGCTGCCCCCGTCGTTATGTGCGCCGAATATTTGTCGCTGTCGCCACGAAGAAGGGAGGAGGAAGTGCATCAGTGCATCGGAGGCCCGTTCGCGGAGGCTGGATGCGTGAGCGGAGACGGTGTGGAGGGGGAGGTATTGGGCGTATCGTTGTCGGTAGCGTCGGATGAAGGGGATTAATAGAAAAAAGAGGAGGAAGTAGGCGGCGAGGGAGATTAGGGCGGGGACTAGGAGAGTCTATGGATATGGGGTTATTGTCTGGATGGTTTTTTTTTTTTTTTTTTTTTTTTCTTCTTGTATCTCTCTTTTCTTCTCTCTCTCTCGCTCTCTTTTTCTTGTCGAGAATTAGTATGTAACGAACCTTCGCCATTTCCAGCGAACCCGCCATTATTGCGAAATCATGTGTTTACTTGAGATAGATAGCTAGATAACTACTATACCGCAGAGGGCGTAGTAGTAGCCAACAGAGCGAGCACAAACAGAGAGCGTCAATGCGGAAGGTTTCCCGGACGGGATTTTGGCAGCGGTTTGGGATACGTTTCAACAGCGCATTCCCAAGGGCAGAAGCAACAAAGAAAACCAACAATTCTATGCAACAGATAATGAGCACATGCCTCAGGGTCCTTCTGGGGTCCCGTTGACTTCTGTTCGTTGATGCCGAATTGGATACGACGGAGGTTATTATGCGTTGCGTCTATGCTTAGTTGAGGCTCCACAGCCAACAGGGCCGGATTATCTCGCTGGCCGACACGCCTATCACGTGCCTGGCCCTTTAACTGCATCTGGCCTGGACTGGGCGCGCCCAATCTTGGAACCCCCCCTGATAACCTAACCTGAGGATTGAACCTGTCTGTTCGTTCATGATCAAAGCGTTTTGGGCGGACAGGCAAGCCACCACCTGCGCAGTTTCTTGTTTTCTGCGTCCGACCCTGTTGGCGCCCTGGTTCTCCCTGTTTTAGGTTGGAGAATAAAGCTACCCAACCTGTTGTGATTTGGCGAACGCCCCAAACATACTAGTCTCTCGCGGGATTTTAATGACATCGACGTCGATACGAATGAAGATACTACTTCCATATCAGTACCTGCACTAGTGTCCCCGAAGCCATACTCCCATCCTTCATGACCCGTTGGCGTGACGATAATCTGTTGTCTGTGTTTCGATATTACGGAGGAAGAACAGGCAGAGTTCGAAAGGCTTCCAGGAAGCCGCGTTGCGGGAGGCTGATACATGACATTGCACCCCGACAAACACGACCCCACATATATACACACGCATGGACGTATAGGCATCGTCATCTTACTTGTTGAATCTGCAGAGGGGGCATACGCACTGGCTGGATTTTTATTCCCAGGTCCTGCTTTAATGTCGCAGCTTTCCTTTTGACCGCACCCTACAAGATCTGTCGAAATGCCTACTCCTTCTATTTCCTCAGATAAATCTCGACAGTCATCAGCGGGCAAGTCATTTTTCGGAAGAAAATTACATAAAGATCGTCCCCCGGATCCTCGGTTTGAAGGCAACGGCGGCCTGGAGGTATTTGGGGCCAGCGGCTCCGCTGCTGGATCACGCTCCTCGCGCCATTCCAAGCACGAATCCATACATTCGGTGGACATACCCTTTGACCACCCCGGTATGTCATCTGGCGTTATCACCGCTATCCCTTATGATAGCGTGGCAGCAGACCCCAAATCTCCTATCCCTGTTGACTATCTCCCTCAACAACGAAAAGAGCCTTCCCCTCATCACCTAAATAAACCGGGCTTTGACCCGCACCAATATCCATCGTGGAATGGCCAACAATCATCGAATGGATCGTCACATCCAAATGGCCCAAGACCCCCGCCTAGCTCCAATACAACTATGGCCGCAAGCCATACGGGGGATAAGGGAACGAAATACCAGCAATGGGGTGGCCCAGGCAACGGCTATCCTTCCTACTCAACTCCCGATTCGTCGACGAATTCCCGCACATCCCTAGATCAGAATAGCATTTACTCCTCCATCTCGTCCGCCCAAACCTCCTATGACCCATCCCTCCGTCCATACACCTCCCAGTCGAATGAACGATATCCACTATCTTCCGCACACTCAGCTTCCAGATACTCCTCCATATCCCAAACGCAATATTCGACTCCAGGTTCCGCATTTTCGTTGGCGATTGCTTCTGATGGAAACTTTAGCCAACCAAAGGATGATAGAATTGTTGACCAGATGTTCTACGAGTTAATGATCAAGAGAGGATGGCAGAACTTGCCAGAGCAAGCGAAGCGGCAGATGCTGGCATACCCGGCCTCAAAGAAGTGGACGCTGGTGCATCAAGACCATTTGACGCAGGCTCAGGGCGACAAGAAAAAGTCAAATTCCCGACTCACATATGGCTATCCTGATGGCCCCGCAGGTCTTCTCTCGAGAGCAGACGAAGATGGGAGCCCTGAATGGTATGTGAAGAAGGTCATGGATGACTCAATTAGCACGAAACAACTACAAAGTCTGAGTGTCAGTTTGCGGACGCAGCCAATAAGGTACTTGATAACCCTTTGCTTCCATTCATAGCTTTAATTTGCTGACGGTGATGTGATCCAGCTGGGTACAATCATTCGTGGAAGCCCAAGGCCCAGTTGCCCTGGCGAACGTTCTTAGCAAAATTAACCGACGAAAGGCCTCCGGACCAGCTCCAGCTACTCCGGCATCGGGCGACAGGGATCTCGATCGCGAATATGATATCGCGAAATGCTTCAAGGCATTAATGAATAATAAATATGGCGCTGACAATGCTCTGGAGTGTCAGCAAGTCATTATCGCACTCGCCAATTCGCTGACATCGCCACGTCTTAACACGCGCAAAATGGTCAGCGAAATCTTGACGTTTTTGTGTCATTGGGCCGAGGGTGAGGGCCATCAGAAGGTTCTCCAAGCGATGGACAGTGTTAAAAGCGCGAGAGGGGAGACCGGTCGTTTCGATGCTTGGATGCGCATTGTCGAGGTCACTATAGACGGACGAGGGAAAATGGGGAGCCTTGTCGGCGCCAGCGAGGAATTTCGAAGTGGGGGCATTGGCATGGAGAACTTGCTTATGGACTACGCTCTCAATACTCTTTTCTTAATCAATATGATCGTCGACGCGGCAGAGCGTGATCTCCAGCTCCGCTGCCATATCAGGGCGCAGTTCACCTCTTGCGGGATCAAGCGATTGCTGGTAAAAATGGAAGAATTCCAGTATGAGGCTATCGACAAACAGATTGAAAAATATAGGGAAAATGAAGCCATTGATTATGAAGATCTTCTCCAGCGGGAAAATAGCAGTATGAAGGACAGCATCGAGGGGGAGGTTACTGATATGAATGACCCGGTCCAGATTACGAATGCGATAGCATCTAAAATAAAAGATGGCCGTTCACAGGATTACTTCCTCTCTGCAATGCAACACTTGCTGCTAATCCGAGAGAACTCGGGGGAGGACGGCGTGAGGATGTTCCAGCTCGTGGACGCCATGCTCAGTTATGTGGCTATGGATCGTCGGCTGCCGGATTTGGATCTTAAGCAAAGTCTAAATTTTACAGTCCAGAGCTTGCTCGATAAGCTACATACGGACGCAGAGGCGAGGCGTGCATTCGATGAGTCTCTCGAAGCTCGACAGATCGCGGACGCCGCCATTGCTGAGAGAGACGAGGTGAAGGCGCAACTTGAGCTTGGTGCTGACGGGCTAGTCAAAAAGCTTCAGAAGCAGATTGAAGAACAAACCGATATCATTAATCTCCAGTCCCGGCAGAATGAGGCCTTGAAAGTGGAGCTAGCTGAAATCCAGCGGTTGCGGGGCCAGGAATTGCAGCGGAATGAGCTGGAGACTCGCGAATTGTATCTCATGCTGCGTGATGCACAGGAAGTTGCTGCCTCCAAAGCGCAGAAGGGGAATCTAGACAAACTTGGTAACACCGATCCGACTCAAATGAATGGCATTCTCGATCGCGAAAAGCTTATGAATCGGCTCGAGAAACAATTGGAGCGAACAAAGACGCAGTTCAAGCTTGAGGGTAGAGTTTGGCAAGAGGGTGGACCATCGGATAGGCTCCGTGAGTTGCGCGAGCAAATGGATGGCGATGTCGGATTTGGTGGTGGATTCGACGAAGAAACCAAACGCAGTTTCACCAATAGCACTTTTGGCGCCGTTTCCCGAAAACGAAGCCAGGGCGCTAATAAGAAGGACGTTGAAGATGAACAACTTTCTGACCTTGGCGAGGAGGATGGTGACGAGGGTGTTGTGGAACGGCCGCGATTAATTGAATTCAACCGGCCACGCATGAACCCTGAACAGGCACCCTTATTGTTATGAGAAATCGCGTCCAGAGTACAAAAGATGATG